GTGGATATTACGTATACTACTCCAAAATCCTTAACTTGAACAGTACTCCTCACTATAATGCCTTTAATTATAATACAATTTCTGTTATAAGACAGATACCATCATAAATCCCATATCACTATGTAGCAGTAAAATTATATGTATAATGTACTTCATTTTATGGAGTCTCTAGCTCCAATGGACAATGTTATAATGAGGCATGCTGTATAATGTTATTCATTATGAGGAATTCTTGCTATAAGACTAATGGATAGTGTTATAATGAGACATATAATATAATGTAATTCATTATAATAAAGCATCACTATAAACTAATAGTGCTATAATGAGGTGTACTGTATAATGTTATTCATTATAAAGAAGTCTCACTATAAGAGCAATGGACAATGTTATAATGAGGTGTGCTGTATAATCTACTTCATTATAAGAAGGTCTTACTATATGACCAATGGACAATGTTATAATGACATGTGCTGTATAATTCATTATAAAGGAGTCTTACTATAAGACCAATGGACAGTGTTATAATGAGATGTGCTGTATAATCTACTTTATTATAAGGAAGTTTCACTATAAGACCAATGGACAGTGTTATAATGAGGTGTGCTGTATAATTCATTACAAAGAGGTCTCAATAAAAGACCAATAGACAGTGTTATAATGAGATGTGCTGTATAATTCATTATAAGGAAGTCTCATGATAAAACCAACAGTGTTATAAATCAGGTATAATGTATAATGCATAATGTACTTCATAAAAAGGAGGTCTCACTATAAGACCAATGGACAGTGTTATAATGATGTGAACTATATAATGTACTTCATTAAAAGGCAGTCTCACTATAAGACCAAAGAACAGTGTTATAATGAGGTGTGCTGTAATATTTTAATCTGTTGCAATTTTCCTGAATGTAGCTTGTTTGTGAGGGTAAGAAAACTTTTTGGATGATCAGCTGAATGAATCATGGCATTCTTAATATGATAAAAATGTGTTATTCTACTTACTAAAAGTTCATTTTGCATAAAATGCCAAGAACATAAAATGTGGGTTCCAGTCTGATGATAAATTAAAGTGAAACTCATTTTTTTTGTCAAATATAAATCACAGAAATATTTGTATGCAATTTTCTATCTGTATAATGGTAGATATAAATGTTGACTGATGAGACTGGTACAGAATTAGATACAGGGCTGTATTCTCAACAGGTGGGAAATTAAACCAAGGAAGCCAACCTTCCATTAATTTCTTCTTACTCTTAGTGTTGGCAGCATCAGTTACCATATGTTTCTAATTACAAGAGATGGCTCAATGGAAAATAAAAGTTCTCAATTCACACCATATAACAGGCTCTTTTCACAAAGATGGTATTATCTCCCTTTTTCTGCCATGTTGAACAGGCACCTAAAGATTTTGCAGAGCTCATTAGTCTACATTTTTCAAACTACATTGCTCTGTATGATTTCAATATATTTTGATGACATTGTGTATTGTGCTATTTAACCCCAATAATTTCCCTTGCTTTGAATAGAGTTATTGCCCTTCAAGTTTAGAGTTATTGTCCTTCAAGTTTAGAGTTATTGTTCTTCAAGTTCCAAAATTTGTATACTTTGTTTTATGCAACTGTTTAGCTCTAGAACAATGAACATTAGCTACCATATGAAACTTAACTTATTAGCTACCATATGAAACTTAACTTGACAGCATTATTTGGGATGTCCTTTTAAAGATTTAATTTTTTTCCCATAAATTATGTGTTTCAATTAATATCCTGTATTGGTTAGGATAATTGCATATCTGTTTATGGCTGCAACTTAATGTGCAAGATCTGATAAAAGTCATAGTCCAGTAGACACCAGTCATAGAGTGCTATTCTTTTCCAGTATGAAGCTGTGTTGGCTTGGTGGCTGGACTCACAACCAGAAGGATGCAAGTTAAAATCCTCCTTTGGATCAGCTTGGATTGTCTCCCTTGGTGTGACATTGGACAGGACACTATCCTTCAATTGGCTCAGTACTAAATAACACACTTGTGTTGCTGCTTGTGCCATAAAACACCAAACCAAGTAAATCTTCCTTTAAAATTCATCAGATGACTGCTTCGTTACTTGACAGACTTGTCACGGTAGAGCTAATAAATTTTCTTAAGGAACAGGCTTCTATGTAGAGCATGTGATTTAGTGCCACATTTAATTTTAGTTCACTTTTGTGTTTTTGTTTTCTTCTTTTCATTTTGTGCTGGGGTTAGGTACTAAATTGGTGTATATGGTATATCTATCTTCTTCCTTGGTTTGGATATGGGCTATATTTCTGATGGATTTATACAGCAAGTTTCCTGTGCATGACTCACTCTCACCCACAATTACAAATTGTGTGTACCTGTAGACAGGTACAAGTTGAGGGTGCAGGTAGAATTTGACTTGTCAGTATATGTATACTAAACTGTGTTATTTATCAAAGTATTTAAAGTCTTAATAGGACAATATACCCATTTAGAAAGATGGGGTTTTGTTTCTGGAGCATTAAGTTTGTTTTTTTGTTGAGAACTCAGTGTTTTTAAAAGTAAAGGTGTGCACGTATTGGAACCACTATGTTACTTCCTGTTTATGAATGGAGACTGAACCCTAGGTGCACAGTTTATCTGTGGAGATTATTTTTGGCTGCCTTATTTTCAACATCCCTCAAAACATGTTACTATTGGAGTCAGATCAGCATAAATTTTTGTTGTTGTCAGCTCCCAGGCCTTCTAATGTACAAGAAAAGCCAGTTGTTAACATGAGAGACTTGGATTTACTATCTATCATCTGTGCATCAGCAAATTAAATACATCTTGTGGTCCAATGACAAAAGTATTATTATTATTGTTTTTATTATTATTATTATTATTATTATTATTATTATTATTATTATTATTATTATTATTATTATTATTATTATTATTGTTGTTGTTGTTATTATTATTATTAGCTATGTTTGCCATCCATGTTATCAAGAAGGTACTATAGATATTTTTCTCTTCTCCAAGCGGGATTAAAAATGTGGGGTAGGCCTGATGTGCTCCTCCCCATATGTCACAAGAGACAACTAAAGAGGGTAACTATTTAGCCTCAGAATGCATCCTTTTTATTATATGCCTTACTATGCACTAGATAGTCAAGATTGTGCTTATGTGTCTTTAAATAACACACACACATATGCACACAAACATTTACTGAAACCATCCATCTGGATACTGTATTTGAACAGCTAATACAAATACACTGTGATAATAAATCACTGTGAACAAACATAATATTTCACTGTACCTGTAAATACAGCATAGTGTCATTTTAATTGCTCATCCCAGAATAGTGATCCATTGGTTATAACCTGAAATCTATAACACATCATTTATTTTCCCCCTTCCTATTATAACTACATGTGTAAAAGCTTAGTTAAAATATATTTCAAATGCCACTGTAATTGGTTTCTCTGAGGGACCTTAGGAAGGCAGTCAAAACTTATGCCCCTTGTGAAGATATTTTGCCATTGAATAAACCTATAACTTAAATAATATAAAATTTAATAGTAAAGATACAGATGGTTTGTGTGAAAATATTGATGTAAACAAGGGAATAATCTGAGCCACATATTCTCTATTAATTTCCTGAATGAGCTGAAATTTTCATTGTCAGCCTCCCCATTCAGCCAATACTTTTAAAGCTACTCATCATTTATGGGTACATGACATGTTTATTCCTTCAAAGCTTACAAAATTGTCTGAGTATATTTTCTGAGTCATGCATGTGCTACTTCCTTCAGGGCACATGTTGGATAAGTGATTTTTTAAACCACACCCCGTGATACAAATAAGCCTGGCTGGATCTGACCCATAAGCTCTAGTTGCACATAATGTTTTAAGTACTGCCAAAATTGGCACCTTAAAGTCAGTACTAAGGTTATGGTCAAAAAGAAAATAACAAGCTCATGCTTTAATGAAATGTCCTCACTGTAAAAGGATTATAATTTTTTGACTGTATCATTAACTTTAAAGGTATTTTCTCACATATGAGAAGAACACTTTGTAACAAGAATGAAAACTGCTCTCTAAATATATTCAGAAACAACCATTGAAAAACTTCACACTAAATTCTGAAAATCTATAGTATTTTAACTTTATATACATTTATCATTTCTTGTCATTTTTTAATAGTAAAAACATACTGAACACTTGATATATGATTTACAAGACAAAAAAAAATATGAATCGAGATTACTTTACTTCAAATGTAATTATTGTACATTTATTGGCAGTTAAGTATTCAAATTTAAAAAAGAAAATAAAGTTTCATCATTTTTCAAGAAGTGGTTTAAGAGGATACAGCATTTTTATATGGACAGATAGTGGAAGTTATTGTGCACCCAGCATTGGGGAGAACATGGCATACACTGCTATCATTAAAACCAGGGCTGAACCAAAGGTTTTTGTCACCCTAAGCAAACTACGGCCTTCTCCCCATGTGCTGATTTAAGCCTTGTGTCCTAGGAAACTGCTTAGCTTGCTTGTATGGTCTGGCTAAAGTAATTCTCTTGAGTCAGGGAGTGTCCGAGTCAAAATCAGATGATTGTAGGCATGATACCCATTCAAATCAGAATTTGTTGGTTGCCTCTGTATATCCTTGAGAAAGGCACCTGTCTTCCATTTTCCCAGCATAATATGGCCAATTATGTGTAATTATGTGTTAAAGTTCAAATCCAACTGACCAACCGGAGAGAGCATGTGTATGTGTGTAATTTAGATTTTTAATGTAGCTTTAACATTTTTCAGTCATTTTGCTATGATGTCTGCAGTGTGACAGTTTATAGTGATGTCTAGTACTGGGTCATCATGCTGCAGACATGTGGCATAATAACACACCCTGTCACATTATCCTGACACTAGGTTGACCAGTCCTAACACTAACCTCTTAATGATGAGCTCCAAGCAAGGCAGCTGTTAGTACCATTTTTTAAAGTCTTTGGTATGACTTGGCTGGAGTTCAAACCCGCAACCTCCCACATCTAAAGTGGATGCTCTAACCACTGGGCCACCAGAGCAGTGCAACCAGACAGAGATCTATACATATACATGTATTTGACATATGTCCCTGGATGATAACTTATCAATTCAATGTCATGAATTTTGGCAGATAGGATTGGTACCATGAGACTTGTATACAAACCAAGTCCATCTGCAAACAACATAGACACTGATCTGCCATCACATAATGTGTATGCAAATCAGTGTCTATGTTTATTCTACTGATTGCTTCCAATAAACTACATAGAACCAGATCTGCCAGTGCATTATGCAATGTCAGATGTGGATCTGTGCAGTTTGCAGTTGGATCCAACTCATAAGTGAGTAGTGCATATGGTAACTCTGTTAACGAGGGAGGGTGTCCTAAACACTTAATCCCACCATTGGTCTCTTACCATAACTAATAATTAGGAGATTGATTTTTCACTGATAATTATGAGTTTTATTTGAACTGATAATTAGTATTTTGAGTTGGACTGATAATTAAGAATTTAAATTTTACAGTCTGTTATAGATAGGCCCCTTTATTGGTGATTGTTTTTTGCATGTCATTAAACTTTTGGTCAAGGTTATATAATAAATAGGATGACTAATTGGCCAGCCATCAACTTAATTTAATGAAGTGAATATTTAGATATGTGTATTTTCTCCCAGTCAGAGGTAATAAATCAGCTTTTGTTTTGTTATTATGACATTTAAAATGATACTTCTTTTCTATTAATGATAAAATTTGTCTTTATTATTAATTATTTCCTTACAATAAAGGAAACAAAGTATTTACCTAATGAATATCTTAGTGATATCACCAATGTCCTTAGAACAATAATAAGTGGATGAAAAGATGAATGGATTAATAAGAAGTGCTGGATCCTGTTAGTCATCACAAGTAATTTCAACGTCTGCCAAATGTAATAAGTATATCAAATAATTAACATGATCAGGAATTTCACATAACTCATTCTGTTTTTATCTTTCATTTTCATAACTATTTAAGCAGGTTACATCAAATATACACATGTTGATTTACCTTGGTAACTTGCATGATTGTTTTTATTTGAAATGATGATGATGATGATGATGATGATGATGATGATGATGATGATGATGATGATGATGATAATTATTCATGCTATGATAGTTGCAGTTGTTACTATTAATGGTTGTGACATTTTTGCATAGTTTTGATTTTGGATAACATAGCAACTGAGTATATTTATTCACTTGTTCATTTGTAGAATAATAACAATTTCTAACGTGAAGTGATATTTCAGCATGTCTACCAAGATATTTGTAGAGTACATCTAAGATTACTTTTTTACATTTGTATATTTATTTTTTTGTACTCTACCTTGTTCACTTTCATTTTCTTCATTTAGTTTGTAAATTCGAGTGCACAATTAATTTTAATATAGTGAAAAAATATTGCATATTGTGTAAGGTATTTTGCTGCGATGTATGTCCTTCCATTTTGTTTTGATCAAAAATGTTTCAAAATAGATATAAGTGCATGAGAGAGAAAGAGAGGGTTGGTGGGTGGATCTAATGATAAGTCTGGAAAGTTTATAGGTTACATAAATAAAATTTCACTAGACTGAAAACAAATGACTCACTTGGAGCACTTGAACTTGTTTTGTAAGTCCAGACCAATAGTTTATAATTAAAATGCATTCATCCAAACTATTGATATCTCAAAATTATTTACTTGATCCTATACATGATCAAACTGGCTAGATGCTGTTTATATTTACGTTTGTTTTGTTTCTGTCTTTTTAGGTTTACTGGTCATAGACAATAAGAGCTGGCATGTTATTTTTTATCTGACGTTTGTCCGTTTGTCCATCCATTATCACATGTTTGTTATCACCACTCTTCCTAAATTACTTAGGAGATTGCCATAAGAATTTTAAAATCTTGTTGTCACTACTGCTGAACAAAAAATTATATTGGCATGGGTTTTTTCTCAACTTCTTGTGATGTCTGGTTGGTCCTGAAAATAAATCTTGTTTTGCTATTCCTTCTGAATGAAAAGTCATATTGACAATGGAATTTCACAAGAATAATAGCTGTGGTGTATAGCTGGTCTTAAATAAAAAATTTGCTGATCTGATATCCAATAGAGCCACAACACCAGTCAACTTTAAAATTTTGATAGAAAGTCCCATCAACATTGAGTTTTCAGCAAAAGATTCCTAAATGATGATGGTGCTGATCTGACACTGAGTATGGACACTATTACAGCCATCTTGAAAATCTTTTTACTACGATTCCTCCTACATGAAAGTCATATTGACATGGGATGTTTAGCTGGTTCTGAATGAAAATGGTACTGATCTGATTTCAAATATTGCTGTCACAACGAATATATTAAAAAAAGTTATCACTAATTCTCCTGAATGGATGGTGATATCAACACAGCAATCTTCTATGGTGTCTAGTATCTTTCGTCCAATATAAGTGCCAAGGTGGCTAATTTTAAAATGTTCTTGCACCAGAATATGAATATCAGAGATGTTCTCAATACTTGCCATTTCAAAAGCCTAATCTTGAATTCCTGGAAATTCTTTCTGGTCAGTTGAGCATCTATCCCTTCATGGGGCTCTTGACCACCTTATTCATCAGTATGGTATGGGGCAGTGCAATTGTGTAGTGCAATTGTGTAGCTGCTTTTTTATGAAGATATTTTAAGTAGGTAAAATCTTGTTCAGATTCATCACCAGGATGGCAAGTGCTAGACATTGGCAAGTGATGTAGGAAGTTGCAAACCATATCCCACTTGAACAGCCAGCCAGTAGCACTTAAATCATTACTGGTCTTTGCACTGGAATCACCATGACACACTAGCCTACATACCAATTAGCATGACCAATTTGTCATTGTGCAAGCCTCAATATACCATTTATACTCAATTATAAGTCGAGCCAAACTGCAAATAACAAAGCTCCTGATCAGCTATAATATAATGTGCCTGTAGATCAGGGTCTATGTTGCTTGTTCAATTGATTTCTCCTAACAACATGGCATTGAACCAGATCTTCTGGTGCATTATGTGATGGCAGATCTGGGTCTGTGCAATTTGCAGTTGGAGGCGTCTTATAAGTGAGAACAAATGGTACTACAGAGTAACCAAACAAGTCATGCAGTGTCCAAAAGAAATCTCATAAAAAATGAGATACTGCTTAGACCAGATGATGTAATTTACCAGTGTATCATAAATAAATGATTTCCATCTATGAAAAGGTCAAAGATCAAAGTTGCAAAAACTAATTGATAAAATTATTAAAATGGTTATACTTTGAATTTATCTGCAGATATTTTTCTCTTCATTGCATGGATATGGATTGTCAGGAAACTGCAAAAACTTTTAAGCTTTGCAATGAATTGGAAAAAAAGGTCATTTATTCAAGGCCACTGATGTTCTGCAATTTTTCAAAACTTGTAATGTATTTTTTCTTAAGAGACTGCCATCAAATTTGGCTTGCAATCTCATCTGAGACAATGCAAGAGAGAGATGAATCAATTTTTTTAAGTCAAGGTCATGTGTGTCCATCAATTTGTGAAACATTTATTCCTACTCTACTAAGAAGTGATAATTAATATACAATCAATGCCAAAGTTCAGAAATGGACAAAGATGATTCTTTATCAACATGGGAGATAAGCCAGAGTTCCATCACAAAGGCCAGCATGTAATCCTCATTGTAGAATAGATAACTTTATGAATGTTTCCAAATATAACATTGCAAGACCAGGCCATGTTTTTGGTCTGTATTGCTATGGCAGACCATGAAAAACATGCATGAAATGGTCTGCATTCCATCAGTATGGAAGGTCATCATTTTTGTTTAGTGAATTTGATAATGAAAGAATGGAGAAGGAAATTGTGGGTCTTACATACTTGCCCTCTGTGTCTCAAACTTTAGTTCATTTGTATCTGAAAAAAAAGAAGTTTTTCCCCTTCCTCTGGAAATGATGATAATTTCTGGAAATGATCATAAATTATCAACTCTAAGTAAGAGAATGTGTGATAATGACAATTCTAGGCAGGAGACTGCTAGTCAGAACTGCAAAGAATCTAATCTCTTGACTCTTCACTCATGCTGCAACAAATATTTTGAACTTTATCAAATTATGTATTACCGCAGTTGTGAAGTATAACTTCTGTTTTATCAGTACAATTCGATCAGCTAAATTCATCTTAAACATGCATCTGTAAATAGTAGAGATGTGCGCTATTACTAGTATACCATGGTATATTTTTCTGGTATGTACCATGGTACTTTTTCACTGTACATCGGTAGTTACCATCAATAAGGAATGCATGGAAATTCCTGAGTTATGTTAAGAATTTTGGTTCAAATCCAAATTTTAGGAAATGTTTTGGCTTAAAATTCAAAAATAGATGTCATTAGTTTGTTATTATCATATGGTAATATGTTAAGGACATGTATTCCTTTTGAAAGACTGCAAGTCATCATAGGATTTTCTGGAGATCAGATGCATCCTGTTTGAATTTTGAATAATTTCTAAATATTTTCTCAATTATTAAGTCAGCATATTTTCTGGCCGTCCTTGATAAATATCTTGCCAGGGTGTTGTCATCCCACTCAATGTTTTCTGCCCCTATTATATTAAAGCTAACCGCTCCAGTGGCCTAGTGGTTAGAGCATCCGCCTCAGATGTGGGAGGTCGTGGGTTCAATCCACGGTTGAGTCATACCAAAGACTTACAAAAATGGTACTAACAGCTGCCTCGCTTGATGCTCAGCATTAAGAGGTTAGTGTTAGGACTGGTCGGCCTGGTGTCAGGATAATGTGACTGGGTGGGACATCATGCTACATGTCTTCTGCATGATGTCCCAGTGCTAGACATCACTATAAACTGCCACACTGCAGACATCGTAGTGATATGACTGAAAAATTGTTAAAAGCTACATTAAAATCATAAACACACATAAACACACATATTAAAGCTAGTAAATTGTAGGCGTCAGTGTCAACAATTACTATTTTTATCAGCAAGCTCTCAAATACCATCACAATGTCTTTTACAGGGTAAATCCACAATGCATGCATAATCTACTCATTTTGATTACAAATTATAGATTATGTTACACAAGAAAAAATACAAAACCATATACCATAATACTATAAAATAACAACCATTTAATGGGAGAGCTGTGATTTGATTTGAGCTGAGATATAATATTTCTTTTATCTCAAGATACCTTTTTTCTTCTAATCACATAATGGACATCATATGATGTTATTTTCCTAGAACATGGAGCAAGATATTTGAGAGATGGAAATTTGAGAGATGGAAATTTTCATTAAAATAGTGTCGAGCCTTGTCCCAGAACATTAAAGTGATGGTCCCTAATACAAATGTGCCATACCAGGGTATGTATCAAGGTATGTTCATAAATACTGCAGTACAAGATTTGTTGTGGTACCCAGCTCTAGTTATAAATACTGGCATTAATAGCACATCATCACAAATCTTGGCTATATGCTGTAAATAAATAGATTAATATTAATATTAATAATGACACAAGATTAAATTTTAAGTTAATGTTGTACACACAGATCTAAATCATATGCAAGCAGAGTGTAATAAGTGAATTTTTAATTACCTAGGACAGTTTTATGTTTTATTGTTGAAGGAAGAGCAACAGACCAATGCTCCTTAACTTTCAAGTACACAAAATTAGACCCAAATTTGTGTTTAGTTGCTTTTAGACATCATGCAACCAAAACTGCACAAGGGAAAATATATTATAATCTCTCATGTCACAGCTGTGGAATATGGAAATCCCATCAAAGGGTCAGAATTGTGGACAGAAACAAGGTTCTGCCAAGTTCCTGGTGACAAAGTCTGCACCTAAGGATAGTATTTCATTTCTCACTTGAAAACAATTTGGATACAAAGATGGAATATTATTGCATATTGCTTAGCAATATTATGTAACATATTCTGAATATTTTCTCATCATGAAAAATGGCATATCAAATAAATTCATACCAAAATATTTTTTTTTCAGTATTAAAAATACCTGAAACATTGCAGAAGGTCATGATGTCATAAACATCAAGATATCATCCACAGGGTCAATGAGTGCATTCAAGTGGGATAGGCTTAGTCCACATGGGCAGATTTTATCATAAGCATATACAAGAATAAGGTAAAGTGTAGTCACACTGTCTGTCAGCTGGTGTAGATTTTGATAGGTTTTTAAAAGGTCAATATGCCCCTACTTGTGTCAATGGATTACCATAAATTCCTAATTAATATCATAAATAAAGAGGTATTTAATTTAGTGACTTTACTATTCCTTGCGCCATTACATTCATGTTAAATGTTTTTATGAAAGATCACATCAGAATAATGTTTATTATATAAATTTATTTGAACTTCACTTATTATCAGCAGCAATCCATGTTTTTTCAAGTTTGATTGTGTAGAAGTGGACATACTGAACATGTATATAGTTGAAATAAAACATTTGCTGAAGGATTCTGAAGCAAAGATATTGTTACTTGTGTTCTCATTTGCCCATACAGCATGGTGATGGTCAGAGAGGAGCTTTCCTGGAGATCAAAGGTCAAGGCAATAGGACAATCATTTAATTGTAGGATGGTAGGTCATCAATGCTTGAAGATTGTGGATCTGGCAGCATCAACTTTATGCATAGTTTAGAAATTTACTATGGAATTTGTAATGGTTTTACAAGTTTGCTATGGAATATTGCATGGTTAAGAAGTTTACTATGGGTTACAAAACATCTCTAAGGATCTGGAAGTTAAAAGTCAAAGATCTTGGTCAACACTCATTTGCTTCAAGTTTTTCTTTTGAAATCATGTTTTAAAAAGCATTAGATTTTTAATCAGTTCCATCATGTGCATTGTTTGGGATTTATAATTGAAGTGTCAAAGGTCAAGGACATGCAGTGAATTTTTAAAATAAAAAAAAACTTTTATTGTAAACTGTTGAGATTTTTTTAAAGTGGGTATATCATCAGATTTTTTAAATACAAGTTCAACAGATGTAAACATCAAGGTCACAGGGACAAAATGTGTTACTAAAGACACAGAATGTTTGTTACTAGTTACTAGTGAGATGATAAATTTACAGATATTTGTTATAAATGCAAAACAAGTATGCAGGTGCATGTTTCACATGTATATACACATAAAACAACTGACATGATAGATTCAAGAAAATTACAAGTGCATAAAAAACTAAGCTTGAGAGCATTCTTATGTGTATCAAAGTGATTCGTATTTGAATTAATTCATATATACAACTTAATACATGTACAAGTATGACAGATTGATAGGGTTCCTATCCTATGCTATCAGTGTTCATAAGATTCTATACTGTACTGTGGACTTGAGGATGATCTTGTCAGGGCTGGATCAGGTCAAGTGTTGAGGGGATCCAAAATTTCAAAAGAATCCAGACTTTCCTTGAAAGCGCACCAAAAACAAAAGTCTGTGTATATTTACTCAATGTGTGCATAATACTCAATAAACAGGTGCAAGAACATGGTCAAATTTCAAGTGACAATGACTATGTGTGTATGGTTGTTTGCTACTTTTTTTAAGCAGGGTGGTTGGTTTGGGAATCCCCCCTCTGATCCAGCCCTGCCATGTGAACAACAGAATATTAAAATGTAGGTCATTACCTGCCTTTTGGTAACCACTTACAGTTACTTTAAGCACAGGAGTCTGCAGTTTTATCAATAAAGCACGACAAAATTTTTGACTACATGAAATCACCTTAACGGTATTTTATGTAGTCAAACATTTTGTCATGCTTTATTGATAAAACTGCAGACTCCTGTGCTTTAAGATGCAGTTCCAGGGTAGGGGATTACATTGTTTTTCATCATAATATACATTAAAAAACGTGATTGCTCAAGTTGCATTTGTCTGCATTAATCTTAAGATTTTTTTAAAGTGGCTACTTGATAAGTGAAAAAGACGAGTAATTTTGGATGATTTTCTTTTGAGCAATGTAACCAGAAGTTTAATGAGCTTAAAGATAAGCATAATGTTACTACAGAGAACATTTTTACATTAACATACATGAATTAATAAACCTATACAGTTTAAATTTACCATGACAGTACCAATTAAAGGGCAAATCAACTGCAAAGTACAGCATTCATGTAAATCCTCTCTCAAATATCAGTGATTTATTCATATGTACAGTGTCTACATCAGCACCTCCCACAATTTTCATAATTGACCCAGTTACAAGTTCAGCAGCATCAAGTACTGGATGTATGGAATGTACCATTTAGAGAGAAGGGTTAAACAAGTATATTTTATGAAAAAGGTAAGAATAAAACAGGAGGGTAAAAATTTTAAATTATTAATTATATAAATATTTTGGTATGTTGTACTTGGAGTATATTTTGATTGTAAGCAAGAAAAAAATACAGCAAAGAAAGTACTAACATCTTAAAAATATCCAACTTAAAGTTTCTTTGCCTTGGGTTTTCTATAAAAAAAAAACATGTAATCTGCTTCCACACAAATAAGGCAAAATTTCTTGAGAAATTATTTGATTGGATGTGTGTGTGTGTATATATATATATATATATATATATATATATATATATATATATATATATATATATATATATATATATATATATATATATGTGTGTGTGTGTGTGTGGCTAATTGCATTTAATTATTTAATTGCTGCTGCTGCTGCAATATGGTGTTCATTCTTTTCTATATTACTATTTCATGGTTTACAAATACCATAGTCATCAGCCATACAAATTAAAATCTTTGCTAACAAAGTAGGATTTATCAAGTGAATGTCTAGTAACCCATTTTCTAAAGAGTATGGACTAAGGGAGGTAACTCAATCTTAAATGTGAGTAGGTAGATTAGATTTATTGAAAGGATCAATATCCCTGTGATAATGGCATTAACTGTCATAAGTTGAATATTTATCTTTATTTGCAAGCAGGATGGATAGAAAGTAAGAATGTAATAAATTTTTCCTAATTTGAATATTTCAGTATTAGCTATCAATCTTGGAGAGGCTAAATCCATTGTCTTCCATGCTCATTTTCAAGTCTGGTCCAAACCCAGATCTACCATAATGTAATGTTCTGGTAGATATTCTCTATGGACTAATCAGTAGAACAAACAAGATAAATCTTGATCTGGCAGTGCATTATTTAACAGCAGATCTGGGCTGTTCTTTTTAACAAGACCCACTTTTTAAGTTAGTTATGTGGCAATTTCTTATTAGTTGAAAAAGAAACATTTACTGTAGGGATGATAAATAATACAGATACCCAAATTTTCAATAAAATATATTTTTGTAACTAGAAATTGTCAAAACTTGTACACTCCTAATTATAGTTTGTATGTACTGATGGATAAAGATATGTAGATAGTATCCTATCAAGGCTATAAGCACAAGCTTTTCTTGTTAAACTGACTTATTTATCTGTCAATTATTTAAGTTCTAACAACTTTAAAGTATTCTTGACTACTTTTTGCAACAGTAAAGTATTCTTGACTACTTTTATGCAAGCCTTAAGTGGTATAATTTTCAAGCTGAATCTGATGTTTTTGTCCCCTAAATATATAATAGAAGTGGGCTTATTGTTTACCACCATCCTTCCATACATCAGTATACCTGTATGTCCAAATCTGTTTAACATTACAGCAAGAAATCCATTAAAC